TTTTCGACGAAAAATGAAAGTGTTTTTACCAAAATGACCAGCATAAAATGTTCTACAAAATGGACTCTGCAGAAACTTTTCTGAGACTCTCGCACTTTTACGGTTGAGTGCGCATGAGAAATCTGAGACGTTCCTAAAGAATACTCTGGATCTCCCACAATTTCGGATACAAGTACCCATTTGTTTCATCAAAAGTGTTTTCTACAGCATACCGGAAATTTCGACTGGAAAAAGTTCGAAAAAAAAAAACTTTTCCAAAAAGTGGCTGGGTCTCCATATTTTCATCCATATATATGTCGCAGGCGAGTTTGGAATCTAGTTGAGATTGGAATATCATTTTTCTCTTGTATAATAAAATCCATGGTGATTCATAAGAGAGAATGTTGATTGATTTCTCATGTTTTTTCAGCTTATTTGAACATGAAGATATGTGAAAAATATTTCTCTATCTATAAAGAGCGATAAGTAATTCTTTTTTTGATAATGAGGAGATCTGATATTGAATTATTTGGTTAGCATTAAGTCTCAGACTATTTCTTTTTCTATCTTGCTTTCAATGAAAATCTTTTTTCTTCTATATTTTTTGAATGTTGGGGACATGGGGACATTGAATGATTGGTTAAATAATAAGTGTTTTGGTAATATTGTTTTTGTGTAGTGAATACGTGTTATATTTTGTGTTTGGCTCTTGTGCAGGTACGGAATCCTGGACCTGTCAATGGTGATCATTTAGATGAATTATATTCAATACTTTATTTAGTTTTGTTCTTGATAGGTGTCGTTCGTATGTATCATATAGTTATATTCAACATAGCAGTATTGAAAGTTATCGCTTTGATTGAAGAGTCTTTTATTCATTTCAATAATGTAGGTAAAATTTCACATTCTCAAACAAAAAATAAGATATGCTTTATTAGCAGAACAAAAAGAATGATTGATGATGATTAGAGAATATGATTAGGACAAAAATGATGTGTACGTGTAAATGCCTATTTTCTTTTATTGAGAGAAGTTTGTTTTGAAGATTTATTTGGATTATTTGGATTTCTGTCTCCTCGCGGTCCTTCCACTCTCAGGACATCATTGTCGTGTTTATTGAACTATCTGCCACCCCTTCGGAAATATCAGCATCCCCTTCTAACACAAATCAGCAATCATTTCTACTATCAATTGATTTCACCATTGAGTTCTGCCTGTCTAGAGCTCAGTGAATCGACATTCGATGTCGATGAACGTTACTTGTAAATAAACACGCATAATATTATTTTAAATAGGAAAATAATACCTGCAGTGCAAATATAATCTTTTTCAGCTTCTTCACGAATTCATTTGTGTGATGTTTGAGTATCATTACTAACATGCAATAAAAAATATAAATTTAATTGCATAAAAATAAAATTCTTACTTATCATTTTGAAGCACGTATGTATTCGATGATAATATTGGAATCGGTGAACAAGCATCAGCATTTTCAGAATTATTATCAATTAACTTTGAAAAAGAATATAAATGTATATTTGTGACTAGTAAACAATGAATGTTAATACGCACTGAATGATCATTTAAATTAAAATCATCGGCAAGTGATTCAGGTAAATCTTCTTCATCAATGATTGTTTTATTAATGGACTGTTGATGAATTTTTAACCAGAAATCATGATCATTTCGTACAAGTTGACCAAAAACCATTTCATAAGGTGTTTTTTTTTGTACTTTGAGAAATACAATTATTCATTGCAAGCATGACAGATCCTTAACAATTTCGTTACAGTACCAATTATTAATTTCAAAATCAATTTATTATATACTACATACCTAATCCTTGTG